GGGGAGACAGTACTGCTTCATTATTAGTGGAGGGCGACTTTGGTAAGGCTCAAGTGTTCTCGAAGTACTTTAGCAACGTATACCATAGGAGCGTCCTTCCCGTCAGCGTATACAGATCCCCCCATACATACACTGGATAGAGTGACCATTAAAGAACTCGATGTCTTTGGTCTGCTAAATAAGCTTGACATAGGTAAATCCACGGGGCCCGATGAATTACATCCTAGGCTACTGAAGGAATTATCTAACTTCGTTGCAAGCCCTTTAAGTACATGATTTAACCTTTCCGTAACGCAGCGTCGTTTACCAAAAGACTGGAAAAACGCCATAGTAAGTCCTGTCTTCAAAACAGGTACGAAACACAAACCTGAGAACTACCACCCTGTTGGCCTAACTAGTGTGGTTGTTAAAATCTTAGAAAAGATTATTCGGAAGGAGCTGTTTAAGTATCTCGATAAAAACCGGATCCTCTCGGAGAAGCAGCACGGTTATTCTTGTCTCACTAACTTATTAGTGGCTCGTGAAAGCTGGTGCGATCTTAAGTAGCAAAAGCTACCTGTAGACGTAGCTTTTGACGAAGTTTCCCACAACCGGCTGTTATATAAGTTAAGAAAAGTCGGGATTGGAGGCAATTTATTGATGTGGATAAAAAACGTCCTAGTTGGGCGTCAACAAAGAGTAAGGGTGAACTCAAAGTTATCTAACTGGGAAACTGTGTTTAGTGGAGTGCTCCAGGGTACAGTTTTGGGGCCAGTGCTATTCCTCTTGTATGTAAATGACCTTCCTTGTCTCCTATCATCATCGGTCTTGCAATGTGCTGACGATGTCAAGATATGGAGAACGATACGATGTAAGAGTGATGGCTTAGAACTTCAAAATAACCTGAAGAAGTTATCTGAATGGTCTCAAACATGGCAGTTGCCGATAAATACTTCCAAGTGTGTTGTGATGCATATCGGTCATCAAGGCACAGATACATACACGATGAATAACACTGAGCTGCCTGTCGTCCAGACATATAATGACTTAAAAGTTATCGTTAGTCAAGACTTAAAGACTACTGCACACTGCCGTGCAATAGCCGCCAAAGGTTTTAGAACCTTATGATCAATACATAGAGCTTTTAGTCATGTCGACGCTAAAACGTTTTTGACTCTGTATACAGTGTTATTTCGTCCTAAACTTGAGCACTGCATACAAGCGGCTAGCCCCAGCTTAAAAAAAGACAGTGAGCTTCTGGAAAAGGTTCAGAGAACGGCGACTAAGGTGATTCCCGGAATAGCGAAGCTTCCATATGAAGTTCGACTGGCCAAGCTGAACCTTTTCCCGTTGTCAAATCGCAGAACTAGAGGCGACTTGATTACAGTCTACAAATTGCTTAGTGATAAATTTGCACTTAATATGCCCTCATTTTTCTTGTCTTCCAAAACAGAGAATTTACGAGGACACTCCAAAAAAGTTCATGAGCCGAGAACAAATTACTTATCAGCTGACTATCGACTTTCCCATCGAATCATCAACGAGTGGAATTCACTATCTCAGCACGCGGTTGAGGCTCCACCCGTCGACTATTTCACAAGAAAGTTGGATCAACTGAGAGACTACCATTGCCAGGACTAACATAGGCCATCAAGCCTCCTGTCCTTCCCAAACTGAAACTGAAACTGATTATATAGCGGAAAAGACAAATGTATAACGGTTATTATAAACCTACCTAAAGATGCAAATAGCTTTCAGAAGTCTACACATTGTTTCTAATTAAGGGATATGGTTAAACGCTTAGAAAATTCAGTTTAAAGTCGATTTTCACGATTCAGAAAACACTTTTGGCAAAGTGAAGTTTAAGTACTTTGCAGAAATAAATAAATACAGGGTGCATGTGACAAACTAGCATCGAGGCAGTACATATTGGAATGCTCTAAAACCATCAAGTAACCTTGTAGAAATATTCAGCAGACAGTTTTTATTGACAGCTACTGGTGTCTTCTTTTCCTTTCAGATGTCCGAATATTCCATCTGTAATGTCCTCTCAACACTTCGTTTTTCTGTAGCACGCTAAGCGCAGCAAACGGAGTTGGAAAGGCTTGCAGATAGTTCACTGTACACTTATTTTGAGCGAATTCGGACTTCGTGTTCTTAACATCGATAACAGTCATTTCATTGTGAAATTTCTCCCTTTACTGCTCGATACGACTTGGAAGACTGTAGGGGTATGAGATTAAATTTTTTTCACTGTTAGACAAACACCTACTCCGTGGATTAGATACCATTAAGTTGTTTGTTGGGGTTTATAGATCATCTTAGACGACCTTGTGACGTGCTCTTCATCGCGTAAGGCCACTCGAAGAACTGACTCGCAGACAAGAAACGCAGGCTTACGATATTATATATGGTTTGAAAGCCTTACTGTTACTGCCAACACCGAGTCCTTGAGGTTTTCTTTACACAACAGACAAGCAATTGGAGGCAACAAACTGGTATTTATAATTCTCTATACAAATCTCTTTACTTTGTAGATGGTTATAGTGAGTATGTAACAACTTAGGTTGGTTGGTTAAGAGTTGACCCCAAACAATCAAGCATATGCCAAAACAGTATTGTTCAAGTATCCATTCACTTCCTTGTTTTGTATAAGCGTTATATTCCCTATTATCCTATATTGAATGTTGAGAGCCTTTGTTTGTCTGAACAGATAATCCCACGCTCCACTGTGACCGCGCTAAGATCGAAATAAAGACCTATTCACTACTTGTCTGGTTTCTTCTATCAATAGCACGAGGGTTACTTTAAGGCACGAAAAGTACATGTTATTCACACTTATGAGAATTATGCTTTTCCTATGTGTTAAAAACCTTTTAAAACAGTTCCGGGTGCATCTCACGTCAAGAACCTCAGAGATAGAAATATCTGCCGAGAATTACCTACATTTAGCTGTAGTAGACAAGTTTAGATATCCCATGTTTGCCGGACATTCCGTAAGGAGGCAAATGTAATTTGACATGCATTCTAACATTTGTAAGTGGTGGAGATGCCACAGGTATTTGAGTTTGACAACGTCTCAACCAGTAACACCTTCTAATATGAAGCGTACCCACCAAGTGAAATCAAAAGACAGAAGCGAGGAGGTTCAAATAATTATTTGATAGGCTATCAATATATCGTCGATCGACTGATCTAATCTGGCTAGATATTGCAGGGAATGTTGATCACAGCGTTCCGACTCGTGATCTAATGCGGGTGCATGACCGAGCGCCTTCCGCTAGGTGGGTCCATCAAAACTAATGTGGTCAGCATCCAATGTCGAAAACTTACAGAGAGATTTATTTTGGGGATTTATTTACCGCTACAGTAGACATCAAACCTCTTGTTAAAATCATACTTTTGTTGACTGATGCAAATGAACCAATTTATTCCTGTTGCACAGCTTTAGTCGCTACCTATATGTTATATTACCAATGACACCATATGTTAAGCAGTGTCTTATAAGATACTCGCTAAACCACAGATAAATGTGGGCCATTTCGCATAACACACACGCCTTACTGTTGGGCGATTCCACCAACAACAAAGTATAATCATAGCATCGCCAGATACCTTGAGACCAAGGATCCGTCGCATGTGCTGATGATGAAATTTTATAGATGGAACATTCAGGCATCCAAATAGATAAGGCGATATCAATAGCAGTCGCTAGAAACTATCAGCTGAACGTTGTTACAAGATTATTTGATGTTTTTAGATATCTCATAGAGCTTCACTCTAACAAAGTTTTGCATCAGTTGAAGACGATTGACTACCTACCTTTTGAATATGAAAAGCTTAGTTATGCTTCTCGCTCATAAATCATCTCATTACGAGTTTGACTTAATTTTCAGGGTATGTACCATCAGGACATTACAGACATTCCGTTACCCATGTTGGCATGTGTTGCTTGCTTTTTTGATACGTCTGACTTTTACAGGTACGTGTCGTACCTATAGGAAATTTCATATTATCAGCAGGTAATTTATCGAGACACCGTAGTTGGGGAAGAAGTGATTTCAGGTCCGCACAAAATGGTGTAAACGGATTAGTTTTTGTCCATTGTGATGCGTTCTGTACCGGAGAGTTTTCTCATGAAACCTTGAATCATGTCAAGGGGTAGTTAAGTTGCACGGAAAGACCTAACAGTACTGTAGAATTGAAAATGTACAGGTCAAATCAGTAATAGCAGCACGTTCTTTTTTCGGTGGTCACCAAATTGATATTAAAACGAAATAATTCGGAAAGTCTTTTCTAACCGTAAATGGAGGCAAGTAACCGAAGAGTTTCACATAATGTCAAATCTTCCTGCCCTCAATAGGAGAGAAATCCTGAATATTCATCCAACCTGGACTGTTTATCTAAACAACCACATTTGATCTTATTTATTTTTCAAATGATCTACATGCTTACGCTCCTAAGTTCATCCCCATTACTTCATTTTAAAAATAAATACATTTCTCATACCCACACTCTGATAAACTAATTATATGACAGGTTCACTCTAACCAAGAAAAACGTGACATTAGCATGTTCAGAATTATTATGATTTTGCTTGTACTAAAAAGATCCCGCATTGTTTCTTTGCACTATTTAATCGTGTTAATTTAGTTTGGTTATTTGTTTACTTTGAAGAAGTGGCTCACATTAAGTCACAAATACAATTATTTACTCATTGGGGCATAACAAAAATTTATTTACTAATAGTAGTGTGACTGCATTCCCAAAACCACTGGGGGGGCTGTTGAATAACATGCAGTGTAGACAATGTAGAATGATTTCAAAAAGATAGGTAAACACTCCGTTCTTTTGCAGCTTATCTTAATTACAAAACCTTATAACCACTGAGTCAAGGACAATACAATTGTATGGACAGTAGCTTTCTCAATTTGAAGGCAAGAAGATACAGACAAAGAGAAATCTTTATATCTAAGAAGCTATCTGCTGGATACTAAGATGGTATGCACATATAGATATTTATGACTATTACGGATTTACGACTATTTACTTGTTCTGCTGACCGCAACAGTACGTAGAAACTGAAATTCAGTGTTCATTGTGCATATTACAGTTTTTCGGCGGATTTTAAATGTTTTTGAAAACATTCTGTGACTACTACTTGAGCAGTAGCTCATTTCCAGCCTACAAACTACTTTCGTTTTCGTCACTTACACGATCTGCAAAGCAAGAAGTCCTGATTAATTTTAGGGCCATTTCAAAAGCTTGATCCGACGTTCCCACGTTTTAAGAACATTAACATTTTACTTAGCGCATCATAATACAAGAGAGTACCTCACCACTAACTTTAATTTCATATCAACACGATTCGAGTACATGAAAAATGGATCCAATAGTTGACCACGTAAGTCTCAACATTTGGATGTTTGAACATTTGATTACTTTATTAAGCACTTGAAAGAATACTTGCTACTGAGATAAACAAAAGTCAGTCTGCCTGTCATTCTTTTTAGCGTGAGTTAAAGCAGTGACTTGTAGAATTCGTTGACCCGGTACTAGTTACCAGCATAGAAAATATGGTTGTGAACCGAATAAAACAATTGTTCATATCAACGATCGCTTATCTGTTGAATTATGGCCGACTATGATATTAGTAATGCTCTAACATAAGATCGGATCCTAAAATTGCAGATTTGTCATGATATAACTGCCTAATCTATAAGATCCGACGTGGAAGTCACATCATTGTCTACACTGACTCATCGTACAATAACAATTACCAGTATATGATGGAGAACACATTCAAGCTGCAGATGAAACAATATACTTAATATGAGTAAAAGTAAGTTGTACAGAGCAATCACGCCTGCGAGGCTTTGTTCTCCGCGTTAAATATTGAATATCTATTTCCACAGTTGTCTCATGTTCAGCTTTGAGTATTGTGTGGTTAGGGATCAGTGCACTACATGTCAACCATTAATATTGTCATTGCTCTGAAGACCAAAAGAAAGAATAAGGTAGTTTTAAATAGTGTACAGAACATGATGCGGTTCAATTCCAACCTAACCATGTGTTACGGGAGAACTGTAGACATTTGGCTGATTAAAACCTTTTCATTGTATAATAATAAGTTGACTGTGGTTTTGGATGTATTTGTTTTACTTAACTTTTGAACTTGCTTGTTTATATCATCATTTTCGGACATTTTGGTTTCTCTTTGTCATTGGTTTGGTATTTGGGACTTTTTTTCTCCGGGAACCTGCAAAATTGAGGGTCTGTTTTTTAACTGTTGTAATTATTGTTGTTGGAACGACATTTGGGCCGAATGTTTGTAAATTGCGAATAAACTTTGGTATCTAAATTGGAGTTTGGTTCTGTTTTTAATTTAGGTTCGTAAATTGCAAATAGATCGATGTGCCGTACTTCAATAACGGGAACGAGCAAAAACATGGACGTAACGTCACGTCTTTTCAGAAAGTCATCTAGTAAGTTGGCCGTACAATCTACCCCAAGATTGTCCAACCAGTCGGCTAATAGCACAGGAATCTGAAACGCAATCCAACTGTAATTTGAAAATAAACTTTGGTACATGAATTAGAAATCGGTTCTTTTGTTATTTTGGGGTTGTAAGTTACGAGGGGATCAATCGACCATGCTTCAGTAACGGACCAGAAAAAAATTTGGACGTAATACCCTACTAAAACTCGGTTCTTGAAGATCTGGGATTAATTAAAAATGTGAAGCTAGTGGTTCGCTTGAGAAATGGCCAGACACCATCACACTTAGATTGGATATTCGCAAACGAAGAATTTATGACTGACAACCTTTCAATTTTGGCTTCCCTGGATATAAATGGTTATGTAGTCACACTCTTCAATTTTGTCGGCAAAACCAAGCCAATAAGTCCTACCGAAGACAGGTGTTGGAATTTAAAACGGTTGGATGAGTGAGTTTTGCAAGTCAGTCTCCAGTGGGTGAACTTCGCTGTCCACCCTCAACTTGTTCTGAACGCTCATTCAACGTTCTTAATGCATACGATATTATGTGCTACAAGAGAGTCTGTCCGACAAACGGTTCCCAAGAGTTGCAAGTAACGTACAATCACAAAGAATCGCACTAGGCGGAATATAAAGGAACTAGCCGTAAAAGCGCATATAAGCATTTCAAAAAAGTAAGGAACCAGTGCACAGAGGCGATAAGAGAAGGTGGGCTTCAGTATCAAATAAAGATAGTCGATAAATATATCTCCGATCCGAAAAGCTCACTCCGTCATGCAGACTTTCTTCGACAAGCCGAAACCGGAGTTTCGCATTTGTTAGAGCCTAATGGCTCAACCAGCAATGATGGTTTCGCGGTCGATCTGGTAGAACAGTAACTTCAAAAACTCAACCGTTCTCTGCTAATTACATCAACAAGAGCTCCACTTGCAACTCAACAAGACTCCCAGAAGTGAATGTGAAAAACTGATACGGCGCATCAGAAACTACAGCATCGAAACAAAGATACGTCTTCTCGCTTGGACATGGTTCATTCTGCTATAGTGAGAGAAGCGGTTTCAGTCTCGACAAAACCACTTAGCATGTTGTTCTTACATTCGCTAGGCTAGAATGCAGTATAAGAAATGGGAGGCTGACTCACATTACACCAATTCCCAAGGGAGGTTGACGCGCAGAACCTTCAGGCTATCGTCCCGTAGCACCCCTCTCGATGCCCAGATATAAGATAATCTACGCGGCTACTTAATGTTCATAAACTCCTTTTCAAGCCAACAACACGCTTTCAGGAAGGGTTATTCTCGTTTAATTAACCTGCTAACCGAGTGCTACGTTTGAAGAGATTATGACATAACCTAATGCCGGAGAACGAAACGAAAGTCGGCAACGCAACAATAGGACAAGCTAAAATATTCCACTGCGCCTTAGCCCTGCTAAATGGAGGGAGAAAACCTGGGAAAAGTATATCTCACAAGCAATCGGAAGCGCGAACGAATAAGCACACAACTCATGCGTATATATACAATACGAAAATGTCTTTGGGTATAAGTCACAAAATAGCGTAGTGAAAGAGGAAACGAACCGGTGACATTTAATGTCCTTCCTAGCAAGAAATACAATCCTACCATAAAAATGGGTGCTTTGTACACGAAAACGAGAAATTCAGATTTCTGAAATAAAATTACAAAACTGAGGCGTTTGCCAAGTGATTTCTGGGGATCTAGCATCCCAAGCACCGCCAATTTTAAATGACATATGTTCTTGGCGTTGGTTTGAGATTTGACCGTTTTTCATTCCGTGGGAAAGATTTATAACCATCTTCGGTCTCAAAAGGAAGAGTGATGTAATATAACGTGATTTTTCAAAGGGTTTTGATGGGGTCAGTCATGTGTGTCTTATCAGTAAACTCGAACTGCTGGGTGCCACATCACCGTTACTTGATTACTTACTTACTTACGCCTGTTACTCCCAATGGAGCATAGGCCACCGACCAGCATTCTCCAACCCACTCTGTCCTGGGCCTCCCTTCCCAGTTCTATCCGATCTTAGTTCATTTTTCTCATGTCTATTTTCATTTCCCGGCGTAATGTGTTCTTTGGTCTTCCTCTCCTCCCTTGGCCTTGAGGATTTTATGTGTGGGCTTGTCTTGTGACGCAGTTGGGTGCTTTCCTCAATGTGTGTCCTATCCACTTCCAGAGCTTCTTCCTAATGTCTTCCACCGCTGGGATCTGGTTTAATCTCTCCCACAGTACGTTGTTGCTAATAGTGTCCGGCCAACGGATTCTAAGTATTTTGCGTAGACAACTGTTAATAAACACCTGTATTTTCTGGATGATGGCTTTCGTAGTTCTCCAGGTTTCCGCCCCATACAGTAAAACTGTCTTGACATTTGTATCGAAAATCCTGACCTTGGTGTTGGTTGACAGTTGTTTTGAGTTCCAGATGTTCCTCAATTGAAAATATGCTACTCTTGCTTTGCCGACCCGCGCCTTCACATCTGCATCAAGTACACCATGTTCATCAATGATGCTGCCCAGATATGTAAAGGTTTTTACATCTTCCAAATCTTCTCCGTTGTAACTTTTTTTCACGTGGTATTATTTTATTTTCCTATTAGTTTTTCTCTTTAATTTAACACTTAATAGCGATAAATAATTCGTCACTGATAGGGTTCTATCAACTTGACACCTTATTTAGGAACTCAACGTCATAAATTAATCTTGCTAATTCTCACGCAATCTCTATCACCAATTAACGTTAATATATTTACTCTTATCTAATACTGGGTCTGATCCTACCATAAAACTTTACACGTTCACCAAGTTAAATTACAACTATCGCCGTCCACCTAATTAAACTTTGTATTTACATTACTTCCGATAATGTCCAGGCCATCTAAAAAACATATAATCTCTCCTGATGCCTATAGCACCTGCAAAAGATCTAAATCAGTCACTAAAGCGAATAATGTGAAACCTTATAAACACACTGATCAGTCTGCATCCTACTCTGATCTTCCCTCAGCCACACTAAACGTGCACCGTTTACTTGGACAAGACATATCACTACCTTGCATCTCGCTTGTCGATATAAATAAGAGCAGTCACATACCGTTAGAGTCGACATCATTTGTCAGTCCAAACAAAAACACCACCTGTTGTGAGCAGTATTTAGACAGTGCTGTTGACCCCAAACACCCAGCAATCTCACAATCGGCCATCCTGAGTAGCGGCCCACGGAGTACATGTAAGCCTGCCTACAATAGCCAGCCCGGTGATGTAGATCTTGACTACTCACCCAGACATATACCCCATCCTCCAACTAAGTGTGCACAAAGTGAACATCCGCTAGACACCTGCAACAGGCCTGTATGTAACCATATCGACTTTAGAAACTTTGATATAAACTCCGATAATCTCACCATTGGTAGACCTAAAAGCAGCCAAACAGAACTTAGCTTCACCCAAACTATTCAAGACCTATTACCTTACAAATATTTAATCAGTGTTCCAGAAAATCCCGATCTGGAAATTATAAAAAACACTGAAAAAGTAATTGACCATATATCATCTGAAG